GTGACTCCAAATTACCTTAGGGACAGTATGTCCATGTTTAATGCAGTCTGTGTGCTATATGTGACCACTTAACTATAATTGTTTAATCATCATTTTTACATATCAAAATGACCAAGTCAGCATGAATGATTGAAAAAAAACATAGGTTATCATCTAAACAGTAATCTACTGATGCCCCCCAAGTAGCTCCCTAACATGCAGGATGAGAAATCATTAAAAATAATGTATGAAATTAGGACATAAAAATTTAAAAATGTATTGTACATAGCTTTAATGTTACATCATTGATGTATGATAGCATTTAAGTTTTTATTGCTTAATATTGTCTTAGCATGTTTAAATGAGATGGATAAATGGCAGTAATACAACTTGTTTTTAAATGTTTCAATAGAAAGATATTTAAGTAATTTCAACCTTTTGAACATCCAACATAACGCAAAGTCAAAGTGCAAAAAGTGAGTATCTCTTTATTAAGGATAATACAGTAAGGATCAATTCATTTCAACAGGCCTACAACTCCTTCAATTCAGCAAATTTACATACAATGTGTGTATGTAGATATCAGAAGCTTTATAGTAATCTATTATGAAGCAAGGCCTTGAAACCAAAGTTAACTTGTTCTAATATATTAAATGTTTTGTTTTATACATTTTGAATGGACCATGCAGTAATGCGACCCCTAGATCAGACTGTCTCTGAATAAGCTCCTGTTAAATTTAGCGAAGAAAGTCTCTTACTGCTGCCTGGCCTCAACTGCTGTAAAAGAATTACAGCGTCAGATTATATTTTCCACCACAGAGATGGAAATCATCTGTTGTTGTAATGCACAAATACAGAGAAAACTACAGTAAGGATTAAAAGTGCGATTTGTCACCATCGACAACCAAAATATACTTTTGGTCAAATTAAAATTCACATGTTTATAGTCTATTAAATGAACAAAAATGAAATATCCAGGTAATGAAAAGGTTTATATCATGTAAGTCCTGAAGTTATTTTCTCATATTTGCAAAAATCTGTTAAATGATCGAAATGTGATACAAAACGGATTAACTTGGAGAATGTCACACAACAAAATGCTAAATTAGCATTCCATATCATTACAACTTTAAATGCATTAGATTTCAGTAAAATAGAAATGTATCACTAATGAAAATTAGGGTCATTACATTTTCACATTTTATGAAATACTACAGCATGAATTTAGTCCTACATGCTCTTAAAGTAAAAGTGCTGCCTGTGATTTATGTGATCTGGAAATAAAACTATTTTGTAGTTTTAAATTCTACTTAAATTCTTTGTTAATTTCCAGCTGTCTACCTCAATAAATCAGTTATCTTTCATCGCAGGCATGACAAAGCAGAGCAAAGCAAAGACAAGACTTTTGGAAATGTAAACTACAGTACTTCTACAGCAATCATTTTAAAATAACCTTGACAAAATGACTGTAAATTAAAAAAATATAGAGAGGATGACAAATAGTGGTGATTTCCATAAGTGAATGAGACACCACAGCAAGCCAAGTCATTAAAATCATATAAAACTATTTAGTCCTGTACACCCAAAAGACTGTCAGTCACTGTCAGGTTCTGAACTGGACCAGAACATCAGTTTATACAGGTTCACATAACAGGGCTCATAAGGCATGTCATGTGGGATATAAACATGCAGGGTTATATTGTACAGATCACAGAACCGCTATACGGGTGCAAAATAAATTTGGTTTTACAGTTTGACCAAAAACTGGGTGTCTTGAATTTGTTGGCTGTAGGTTTGTAGATCACAGACAGACTTGAGAGTGGTATCGATCTCCTCATCCAACTCTCCCCAAGAAGCAAATAAGTGTATTTTCCCAAAACGTCAAACTATTCATTCAAATTTTACGACAATGAATATTTGAGTCACATTTATCAACCCTCTCTGAATACAAGTTCGCCTACTTTGTCTCAGCCTCTGTCCCATTGATATTAACATGAAAGGCAGGTCTTTTTCTTCCACGTTGGTTAAATTAACCCAACATTTACTGTAAGACTTGTGCTTTTGGTTATTCTGTGTGTTAAATGAATAAATTATAATTTATTATAACATATTACAAATACTGAATTTTCACTTCAGACAATGTATCACACACAGTTCCCATAAAGCAACACATCTACGATACTTTTATAGGACTTAAAAGAGACAAGGTTTGATTTTCTGAAGCAGTCACTAAGAACATAAGGAGTAGGAAACCCTGCTAGTTTCTTCTGCATTGTTAGATATTTAAGGAAAGAAAATCTCCTCCTCAGTGAAGGTGACATTTAGTGATGCAACATGTAAAGTCTACTTGGTATGGGTCGATTTCCCTTGTCATGTACAGTAGTTTGCTCAGTGTGCTGTGTGTTAAGGCCTGTGTGGGTGGCCCGCCTCATCAGCCAAGTTAAGGATGTAGCCAGCTATGTCGTCCTCTGTGGGAAAATCAGACATTACCCATGATTCATTGGCAGCAGTTACTTGTAGACGACATATCGGACAGTTTCGGCTCTGCCCACTCCTGCGGAAAACAGAAGACAGCGTGTAATAATGGTTAGTGTTTGTACAAATCATGGCTGACATGATATCTGTGATAACGTCAAATGATTTACAAAGCAAAAGAAGAATGACTGAAATCAAGCTTGATCCATTATCTTACCATTTATCAATGCACTTCTGACAAAAGCTGTGTGCGCAGGGCAGAATAAGGTCGGCCTTTCCGTCCATGCAGATACAACACTCCTCCTCATCAGTCAGCTGCTTCACTCTGCACGGGCACACAAACAGAACAGAGATAACTAATCATCTTATTCTGGAATGCAATGACTGGAGCTGGATGAATCTTGAAGGCTTGCATTAAAAGGATTTGCCTGAGAAAAATATCCTTCAGTGTTGTAAAAAAAAAGCATGAAAATGATCCCCTCAGCCTCCCCCAGTTCCTCCTGTGGATGAGAATTCATCCAGGGGATAAACTGCAAATTCGTTTCAGCAGCCTGCGGGACATTTAAGAACCCCTTTTCTAATACAGACACCTGTGGTGAGTAGGACAACAACTCCTGATGGAAATGCGGTGACCATTAATCACAGGGTTGGCGGTTCGATCCCCTGCTCCTTCTGTCCACATGTCAACGTGTCCTTGGGCAAGACACTGAACAACTAATCGCTCACAATATCAGGCCAGTCGTCACCTTATAAAGGCAGTGTTTCACGCAAAGACTTCACTAGTAAATAACTTTGTATTACGTTTCAAGTCTTGGACACGGACCAGGTAAATCAACAGTGAACACACAGAGTGCAGATGTTGGTTTTGGTTGTTTTATTGGCTATGTCATTAACAAGCTGGTAAACGGCACACCTGCTGCCTCGAAAAGGGATCGTGGGTGGAAAAATCTGGAAAAAGCTGGCACACCTCTGGTCTCTTACCTCTGGCAGGCATGTGATTGGGCAAAAAAGCAGGAAAATATACTGAGACCCCCCCCCCCCCCGATAAAACTGCAGGCGGCTCTATTATAACATGGATGGTAAAGCAGGACTCATGACAATAACTTATTTGGTGGATGTGTTGCAGTGGGAATCAAAGACAAGTGTCTAATCCACTGTTCCATCGCAACTTCTCTATAATAATTATTATTTTGTATTAATTTTTTACCAAACTTCAACAGCTAGATGTGCAACATGAAACAATTGAGTTTATAATTAAATATATAACTACTAACTTTCAAATTAGTTCAGTAGAAGGTAATAAATTATTTTTAATGAATAAGAGACAGCAGCAAAGGTCGTTGCCTGTGGTGACGTGGTGACCTAACTGCTAAAGAAAGTTATATTATTCAGGAAACTCTGATCAAACAGCAGATCAGTCTCTGTTTATTGATAAACTGTAGGAGAAAGTTTGGCATTTTGACTCTGGCAGCGGGCAGGCGTGTGCGTGAAAGGAGAACGACCGCAACAGTTTCACGGGATCGCGCCAGTTACACAGAAGCCGTTGCCATGGTTACCTCGCAGAGCGCTTGTTTGCCTGTCTGTTGATGAGGAGCGCAGAAAAAAACCCGCGGATCAAAGACGTCTGAAACTGCCTTTGGCTATATAAATCCTGTCACAACAATTCCCAATAAATTAATTTATAACTCATGAAGGACAACTTAAAAAGCAACTATTCATACAGAAAAGTGTCAACAAAGTCAAAGTAAACATTAGACATAGCCTATAACAAGCAATAATCAAAACATACCCAATTTATATTTACCCAATTTCTTTGCATCTTAGACTGCAACACAGTAATGGCAATAACGTTACTTACAGCTGTCGAAAATACCTCTCTCTCCCTGTTCTCCTGTCTTCTTTTAGCATTTTGGCTAACAGCTGACTTGAACAACATATGGTCCGGTGTCCCTGAGCTGCAGCGTGGTCGCGCATTCACGTCAGGGATGGTGCGTTCAGTAGCAGCGTTACTTTGATTAGTAACTGTAATATTATTACTGTTTTGGAAATAGTAATCCGTTACAGTTCTCTTTACTGGGAAAAGTAATATTGCAGTATTACTGCCCAACAAGTTACCAGTGATGATCGACTGTGATACACACTGCGCAGGTGTGTATTAATCCGCAAAAATCACATCCCTGCTCTGGTCTTTTACTGCAAACACAGTAAAGTGTGGGTTGAAGAGAAGTCCGAGACAGGTGAAAAGCAGGTGGCAGGGGTTATAATCACGATGACAGTTCAACACTGTTATGTCTGTTGTCTATTGACCCAACCCTAAGCTAGATGCTAACTTCGTCTGTCTAACGTCTCTCGTTTGGTGCTGAGCAGGTAGTGTACAGTCAGTTTATAACAGCTTCTTCTGTGAAACAAAACAAAAAAGCTAAAATAATCGAGAAAAAAGGCAACAAAGCTTTGATAATTATCTTTTAGTTTTTATTATCACAGTTTTTCACTGTGACCCATTACCTTACATTACACATGGTCATTTAGTCATTAGTCCAGCTCAATCTGGAATTATTATGTCATGGCTAAACAGACCGGTCAAGACATTTTTACTTTTAGGACACCTACAGTAGTACTGTGAACCCCAACACCAGGAGAGTAAAAAAGTAATGTAATACAAAATGCATTCAACACATAAGGCCTCAAAGATGCACACAAAGGGTCTTTTGCTCAGAACATTGGATGTAAGTGAAACTTTCCAAAGGAAGCTCTGAGGTAAATACTGTATTAGTCACATGGTCTTTGACTGTTTGAGGGGCCGCTTCATGTGCACCTACCTGCCCATCCACATGCTGGCCTGACAGGAGTCTGTGGAGGGGAGCTGGGCAGACGGGCCCTCGGTGGCGCCCTCTGCAGACAGAACCTCAGCCGCCTGGCTGGTGACGTCATGGTACAGCTGGATGAACTGATACAGGTTCATGATGCGTGATGCTTCCACCATACCATTCTCCTTGTTGATCTGCGAGGAGGCAAAGGCGATCACATGAATCATACAACACACTGGTATAGTATACTGTATGTATGTACATGCATGCAGTCACAATCCTACACTATCCTGAAATATTTTTGGTTTAACCAATGTGGGCTTGTTTTTTTAATTCCAGCTGCTGAATCTTTAAATTTAATATCTATGTCTAAAGATTCTTGTGGGACCACTGTCTCACAAAGCATCTGAAATAGCATTTCATCATCATGGGAAAGTGATTCATGTTTAGAAAAACGTGTAGTATTAATTAGGAGCAGATCAAAGCTCTTGGTTCAGTTCATCTACCAGCTTTGGTTCTGCTTCATGCAGTTTCAGTTTGGTTATACCTGGCATGTGAATTATCAAGTGATGCACAAACGCAGTAGTGTGTTCCCATTCAAATTAAATTGCAGAATGACTCAACTATTAGTATTACTGCCTGCAATAATTTCATATCACCCTTGTCCTTTATGAAGACAAATACTGACTCACAACTCCCACGCACAGAGAGAACTTATTAGGTAGGTATGCTTATCTTTTGATACAAGATACCTTAAGATACTTTTTGGCATGAGCTGGAACCTTTCAGATAATAGAAAATAGACGAGATAGCCCATGCTATCAGACAGGTCAGAGCCTGTCTCTACGTGCTGATAAAACGTTGGTCCCTGTTAATGATGGGGCTGCTGTTGTGAATGAATAAGTGGTGAAGAGAAAGACAGAATAGTTACACAGATATAAGAGGGACAGATAAATTAAGAACAGGCACCAGTAAAATAGTTAAGGTACAAGGTAGTTTATTTGTCATTATACAGCACAAGGATGCATAACAAAATGAAATTTTTAGTTCCTTCGTGCTACACACACACAACATTTAATTAAGTGTACACCTATATTAAAATATGTTAACACTCACAAATGAGTTCATCAGAGATGGAGACCATAAATAAACTGCTGTAGGTGTCCTTATGGGGATGCAGCTAACATTTCATACCTGATGGCAGCAGGTGACCTGCTTCTAGATATGAGCTGTCATCTGAATGAGGTTTAATTATCACACATATACCCAATAATATCCACGGCCACACTCTCTCCGTGATATAATCACTTTAACACAAAATTAAAGGTGTGAGCAGATGCTCTTGTTGGCATGTGATGTGTGTGCAAAAGGTTCTTTGGTCTCACCTTGGTACAGAGGATCCTGACAGCCACCTTCCACAAGGCTGTGGCATCAGATCCTGGCTGCACCTCAAACAGCAGGTGCTTCTGCTGTCCAGTAGCTAGCTTGGCCGTTCTGAGAGAGATCCAGCAGAAGAGAGGGTAAGTTAAACTCACTAAACCCTTCTGCATCAGTTTTTTTACTGCGGTTACAGAATATGAACACAGCTACACCTACAAACACACACTGCTTTTCTCTCTCTCGGCAGATGGCTGCCCACCATGAGTCATGGTTCTGCTCAAGGTTTCTACCTCCTAAAAAATGAGTTTTCCTTGCTTGTGTCGCCAAGAGCTTGCTAATGGGGGTAATTGTTGGGTGTCTGTTAGAATTATTACAAAGAGTATGGTCTAGACCTGCTCTGTGAAAAGTACAATGAGATAACGAAAACTTCTGTTATGAATTGGCACTAAATTCTTTCTTGAAGAATCAAGAATATCATTATCACAGAAATACCCTAATATCTCTATTACTGTAGGGCCATATCGCCCATCCGTAAGAGCTATATTATGTATGAACAGAGTGTCACTTACACTTCGTTAAGTTCAGCCACTCTTGCCAGAAACTCCTCGTAGGTTAGATAGCCGCTGTCACGTACCAGTCCAGCGTGTTTCACCAGCTTCTCAGGCAGACGGGTCATCACCGCCTGACCTGAGAGCTGCTGGCCCATCCTGGCAGCAGCAGAATTACAAAACAGCACTGGCAGAAGGTTGCACCTCATGCAGTTCTGCAAAGCGTGGTGTGAAATAAACAGTTAAAAGTCATTTTTTTGGATTATATGTAATAGTTTATTTCTTTCTCTTGACAATCTAGCCTTTACTCAATCATGATTATATCTGAATCACTGAAATATCTGAAATGTGGGCTGGTTGAAAGGCTAGGAACAATCTAGATCATAGTATCTTAAACCTGACTGCTCTCTCGTCAGAAGCTGTGGTTTAGTCTAAACACAGTTGCTGTGTCACTCTCATTCAAGTGTGGACCAAATTTCATATGTATCACATTTGCTTTAATTGACTTTTAAAACCCTGACAGAAGGTGGTAAACTGGTAAACAAATGTTATAAACCAAAACCAATAATGTACCATTTGAAGATGGAAATGAATAAATTGAATTTACATTACATTACACAGACCAATTATGTTGCTTAGTAACTTTAAAATACACTACATGACCACTGATTGTTGAACATGTCCCATGGCCGTGGGTATTAACATGCAACTATCATAGCCTGTAAGGCCTTTTCTTGAGATTTTTAAACCTGGGTGGCTGCAGGGATTTGCTCCCATTCAGTCACAAAAACATTAGTGAAGTTGGTCACTGGTGGCCTGGCTTGCAGTAAGTTCTTGGATATCCCAAAGGCGGTTGGAGTTCAAATCAGGTCTTTGTGCAGGCCACATTAAACTGGAAAAACCACAGGGTGCTCAGGGGCCATGCCAAAACGAAAAGTACACACATATTTATGGACATAAAGTTTGATTCAGTTAATCTCAAGTGAAAGACCAGCTGTTAGAAACACACCATGTCACATCATCTGAACACAATAATACTTCCTATAGCAGCTTCCAACTGAGCCTATACACAGTTTCTACAGCGACGAAGTTTCAGATCGCAGTAGAATGAAAAAAACACCCATGATTAAGTGGCGAATCATCGATGGAAACTCAGATAAGCAACCAAATGCATAACGTACTCGCAGGAACTGCGTCTCAACTGTATTAGCTAAATTAGCATTATGTAATAAGCTAACCGCGCGGTCGTTGAACATTTTACCCTCACTGTGGTGAATGACAGCAATAATGGTGTTTTGAAACACTTCAGCGGCTCGTTTTCAACACCATCATTTTAGTTACAGTTAATCCACCAATGAACCTCAACCCAAACACTAACTTACGTGCTAACGGCACTTCTCAACGGCAGCTCGCTAACGCGGAGCAGCATTACTTTGCACTTAACTAAACATTCAACATGCCAAACCGTCTCTAACGATAAGACAGATAAACATGACCCTCTATCGTGATATGGGACCAAGAAGCTTATTTTCATACCAAACACTCAACATCAGAGTCAGGAGTTGGCGTCCAAACTTCATCACTAGCTTCACCGTTGGGTTCCGTTTGTGTTGACACAACAAGGGCGCCGTTCGATGACGTCGCAGTGTGTCGCACACTTTTACTTGAACGTTTACTTCATGGATACGTTAATTCACAACTTAGTTACTGTCATGATTTAATATTGTTTTTAAGCTCTTTCATTGTTATTACTGTATTTTATTTCCTGGTATTCTGACATGTACTCTTGTTTATGGTGTCTGATTGTTGTAGGCTGCATTCATTTGGTTAACAGAGAGAGTCAACTCAGCTGTTTTTCTAAATATAGCTTTACAGCACTCACAGAGGAAAACGGGGGGGAAAAGGTAACACACACAAGAAAAAAACATAGCCTGATAATCAAGTGGAAAAAATCTCCCCCATTTGCATGTTGGCACATCCGCTGGTACCGCACCTTCCCCATAGTATAATACTAATATATTTACAGGTCTGCCTAGAGATAGATTATAGAGAATTGGTCATTTGAACTCTTTCACAAATAAGACTAACATTAGCCCTAAGATTAGGGCTAATGTTAGTGTATTCATTATAATTTCAGATAATAGTATCCGCCCACTTCAAGCACTGCTGATAATAGTAATAATTATAATGGTAAAGGAATATGGTCACACAGATCCAATAATCACAACAGAGACCTAAAGTGTGCACACAGGACTACAAATACCTGGGAGTCCACATTGACAATAAACTGGACTGGGCCAAGAACACTGAAGCCCTCTACAGGAAGGGCCAGAGCAGTCTCTGGAGGAGGAGGTCCTTCAACATCTGCTGGACAATGCTGAGGATGTTTTATGATTCTGTGGTGGCCAGTGCTATCCTGTTTGCTGTTGCATGTTGGGGCAGCAAGTTGAGGGTAGCGAACGCTAACAGACTCAATAAACTGATCCGCAAGGCCAGTGACATTGTGGGAGTGGAGCTGGACTCTCTGAGAGGAGGATGCTGTCTACGCTACATGTCATAGACAATGTCTCCCAACTACTCCATGATGTGCAGCTCAAACACAGGAGCACTTTCAGCGCAGAACTCATCCCCTCAAAATGTGCCACGGAGCGCCACAGGAAGTCATTACTGACTGTGGCCATCAAACTCTTTAACTCCTCCCACGAATTGTCTAACACACGGACACTTAGTTATTTAACTGCACATTGTAGTGCCAAACTTCACATTCTGTGCAATATTTTCTGTTTTAATATTCAGTGTGCAATATTCTTTTCTGCGATTCTGCTTCTATTTATTATCTATTTATTCATTTATTTATTCTGTCAATAATGTAAATATTGTACATATCCATACCCCTTTATATTTCTTCTTTATAGTTATACTTTTTATATTTATATATTTCTTTACCTACCTACTTCTATTATAATTTCTATTGCTTTATGTTTATGTCTGTGTGCAACTGTGACACAAGAATTTCCTCCCAGGGGATAATAAAGTATTTCTGACTCTGACTGACTCTGACTTTAGGTGAAAACTGAGCTGGTTAAGTTAGGCACAGTTAAAGGTTAGTGAGTAAAAGTTGACTCTTGAAAGTCTCAATAGTGAGGGAGAATCAGAAGGTGGTGGGAGGAAGAAAATTCCATTGTTTGGGGGCAGCAATAAAGAAGGCCCTGACCTTTCACCGTAGCACTTAGTCCTGGATCTCATGACAGTCTTTTGCCAGATGATCTCAGTTCTCTCACAGTGTGATGGAGACAGTAAGAGTGTAATGTAAGAGTGGTTGAAACCATTTAACACTTTGTGGGCAAAGGGTTTTAAAATCAATCCTATAGCTAACAGGTAGCCAGTATATGAAGGCAAGGATGGGAGTAATGTTCTCCCTCTGTTTAAACCTTGTTAAAACCCTTGCTGCTGCATTCTGGAGATGGAAAAATATTACAAGTTGCAGTCACTGAGGTATGAGGATATTTAGGTATGGATGACTTACTCCAGGTCAGAAGAACAGTGAATTGATCTGAGTTTGAAGATGATGCAGAGCTGCATGAATCTTTATTTTACTACCTAAATAATTTGTTTGTCAAATTTCAGCACCAAATCAAGATTTTTTTGCATGTGATTTAAGAGAGGGGACCAATGGGACAAGATGGGAGAGATAATGTTGAATCCAAAATACTGAATTAACAAGATTCAAAGTAAACAATGAATCAGTGTTTTTTCATTGAATCAGAACTTTTTTTCATTTAATTTATATTTTCCAATACTAAACTTTCTACAACATGATTGTAGAAATAGATCTGTTTGTAATGAAGATATGATTGGATGAATATGACTTATATATAATCAAATTGTATCTTTACATTAAACCTTTCAGCACAATACAGACTTCAAGTTTATCTGAGCTTATGATCAAAATGTTCAGGAACTCAGTCCTTAACCAGTGACTGATCTATTAATAGAATCAAGACACCAAACGATAGTTTCATTTTGCCTGTTAGTGAACAAGGTCTCTGCTCTGTTGCTAAAGCTTAATCTCTGAGATAAAACTGCCATACACATAAGAATAAGAACACAAATCAATGTGTTTTTTAAATATAGTTTTGTAATAGTTCTTATGGTCTTCCTGCCATGATATTCTCTGACTAGAGAGTCTATAGTTCATTCTTTTTTTTTAAACTGCCCGGGGAAGATTGATGGGAGATCGATTCAGATTACATATGGCTGCAGGAGGTTGAGAAGGCAGCAGGTGGTAAAAAAACAACAAGCGGAGGTAGAGAATATAATAGGTAGAGAAATAGGCTGAGAAAAATTGGATTGGAAGGCAGGGGAGCAGAACAGGCCACCTAGGGACAGATATAAAGAGGATACTAATAAGATTCAGGAGGAAGACATCAGAAAGTAAGAAAGAAAGAAACAGAAATGTGTGTGGACTGTGACAGAAGATTGCCGCTGAAAATAAAGCTTTGGATGTTGATGTGATGACTAGAAAAAAGAAAAGCACCAGATTAACTTCTTTAACTCAATGAAGTCTCATTGTAACACAGTTAGAGAAGTTGGGTGAACTTCTCTGGCAGAAAATCTTTTTCACCCAAAAACTAATTTTGGATTTGGCTGTTTATCTGCACCCAGGCCATCTGTTTTATAGGCAACATCTGAACAAAGTTCTAGCACAAATGACACCTTTAACTCTCTGAGACCAGAGGAGAAGACGAACACAGTCTTCCCAGATTCATATTCTTCATATACTGTATGTTTGCACTTTGTTTTTATAGTATTATCATTTTACTATTGTTAGTTCTGCATGCACATCTGTTGCATATGTCTGTTCATCCTGGAAGAAGACTATATTCTCATTTTCCCCCTGTATTTTTCATTTAAGGTTTAGTTATGGGGAGTTTTTCTTTCCCTAATCAAGGCTCTAAGATAGAGGATGTTGTGTAAACCCTTTAAGGGAAAGGCCAAAATCATGGGCTTTGTAAATTAAATTGGCTTGACTCAAAGGGTGTGACCCACACAGAGCAGAATGGCTTCTCAAGTAAATATCACATGTTTGCTCTTCTGAGTTTAGAGAGAAGAAAGAGTTTAGACTGCAAGTGAAGAGAAGTGATGTGAATATCAGTGTTAATTTAATTTAAGTTAAGCAAAGTTAAGTACGATTTACTAATCATCTAAGCTTTAGTTGAAATTAAATATAAACCCTGTTATAAATTAATAGGTAAAATCATATTATTACATAAACTGCAATACATTATGTCAATAATGTAATTGATTATGTTATGTAACAAAATTGACTTAAGGTGTGAGAGTTACAATATTCACCTTATTTTCACAATGGCACAATGGTCACTGTCAGCAAATGTTAGCAGGTATTTTAATAATGTAATTTTTTGCTGACAATTTCTGAGTATTTGTTACACTTTCAAAGAACAGAGAGGTTTTATTTAAGCAAGTCAATGTTGCCAATGTTTGAATTAACCAGCAGATGGCAGCAAAGTGCACCAAACAGAATTATCTGATTATAATACATTCAGATGAGAGCCCATACTAATTCTGTTTATTAAAAAAACTCAGCAGATGTGGCCTAGTGCATACAAAGGAGAGCTTTCTGCAATATGTTATTAAAATGGATGACAAATAATGTGACGCTGTTAATGAAGTGAACAATATGCAGAACCTTTGTCATTATTATAAAAGAAAATCAGCTGTTTGATGACGTGCAAAGCTGCATTTTAGGAATATAAAGATGAAGCTATTTCCAATTCAGGTTAAATGACCTCTACTCTTTAAGGAATCAAGTAAGTATTTCCAAGTAATTGCCAGTTGATTTGTAGAAGAAGGCAAGTGCACCTTACACAGATGGCAGATTAATTTTACTTGATTAAAAAGAAATGCATGACTCATATTAAGAAATATTAAAGGTCTTGATTTTTTTTTAGCATGTTCTCACACTTTCTGACAGCTCTAACTCGGTCACTCACAAGTCCTGGCAGAATTACACACTAATGAGCCATTAAAACTTTTCCTCCTTTATTTTTTCCTATAATTTTTTTTAAAAATGGTGTTAAATTTTAGATGTAGGAATCTCCTATTCAGTGCAGCACTGAACTCCACTGAGCTCCATCCACTGAGTCTAGGTGTGCGACTTTGTAAAAATGTTAGCCTGATAATCAGACTGATATACCATTTCGTTTCACTTTATTATTCTATTTTTTTTTTAATTGTGGAGAAAAGATATCTGTAACCGGGCTATAAAATGTCTGAAACAGTGCAACAATTTGAAGCTTAGATTCTGTGGAAATCCCCTTTAGGTAGCTATGGTGAAAAAACATGATAGCAGTCAAGTATGAACAATTTTATGCACAGATTTTCAGTTTAAGAAAAGGAAGATAAGTATAAAGGCTCCATACTGTAGAGGCCATTTTAATACATAACATTGAAACATACAGTAGATATCTGAACAACCCAAGAAAATATGGATTGCTTGAATCCAGACATATTTACCAGAAGTAGTCCCAAATGAACAGCAACTGCATCCAAAATTAATACTGTACATACAGATGATACTTTAAAAATTTGTTCTGTTACTTATTAAATTGAC